AAAACAGGGAGATCCGTCTCCACACGCATGCACGAGCACCAATTTGCCGTGAAGAGACGTGACCATTTTTTCGAAATGGCTATGCATTTCCTTGACACAGTACACACCTCTGCATGGAACAATACACGCATCGTCGGAGTTTGCCCCTCCAAAAAGGTCAAGAATTTCTTGAGACCATGCATTCCAATGATTAATGCATCAACCAACGTACCGAGTAGGATGGAGTGTACACACATTTCAAAGAGAGATGGAAAAGACTGCAGCCGACCACTACGGACCAACGTGGACCGCAATTAGCGTTCACACCGGATGACCTGGTCTGACGCTGGACCGATGCAAATTACAGTTGCCAATTAGTCATTACGCTATTGCGACTACTAATGTTGTCCATCACGGAATGACGTAGGTTGCAGCTGCCAATTAGCACCCGCACGAGACGACAATATAACGGCATCAGTACTTTTGAAATGTTAATTGTTCGTTGCACAGCTCCTCAAGTCTGCAACGAACTGGGGATCCAATGTCGAAAATTTACTTAACGAAATTTCCTCATTTTCCCAAAGGACGTCTTTCCTTAAGAGTAATAACTATATTTACATAGAAGCGAATAAATGTTTAGTTACCAGATCATATTTTCGTTCTTTTGCCTCTCTATGTTTCTTAATCCTTATTTTTTAAGCAAAGTAAATCCGATGTTAAAAAGCTTATGCTCACCTTTTCCCACTTGCAAACTGAACTAAACTGTTCATAGCAGATTTAGAAAAGGTCTACCTACGACTTACCTAAGCTTTCTTAGGCGTCTCCATGGGAATGCCAGGTTTTGGCAGACCCTCCGGTTCCAATTTAGTCGATGCAGCTTCAGCACTCATGAACGGCATCGAGGGCAGTCTCGCACCGTTGCCTTTGAGGCAACCATTAAAATCGGGTGGTTGATTGACGTTGAGCGACGGTACGCAGGACATCTGACTGACCAATGAGAATGGAAATTGCAAGCCCAGAATCAGCGGTGCGGGGATTCCCGGGGGTAACATATACGGCATCGTTGGTGGCAGTGGCGACGTTGTTGTGGTAGTACCTGCGTTGGAGACGCCACCGCTGGTGAGATTGCTTGCCAGAGCGGACCAGTCGATGGAGGGTTGTGTGCCCGGAATGCTGACGAATTCTTTTGTCTCGTCCTGTGTGGCCAGTATCAACTGGACATTGCTGCGTGCTCCCGAGGCAGTCACAAAGGGTTGATTCTGCTTGCCCAAGACCACCACATTGGCTGCTATCTCAGACACAAAGTGGACGAAAGCTTCGCCTGAGGGCTCACCCTGAAAGCAGACAACAGATTTGGACATATTCAAATAAAGTTATTCGTATAGGATGAGAGAGAGAGAGGGAGAGAGGAAAAGAGGTCGATGTTACTTTTAAATAGAGAGGGAGTGTCCAACAAATATATACAACAGCTGACCGAACTATGCGATCAGACATTTTTAGTTTTACAATTACAATCACCATGCCACTCGTAACAAGTGAGTAGTCCTGTATATTTACTCTTTTCGACTAACCGACGGCTGCTGGTTTTTCGACTGTAATCATGTAAACGACGTCTCCTGTGAATTTTCTTCTGTATTGTTACATTTTCTAGCCACTTCAGTACCACTAGAGAGCCCAAGGGAGTTCGCCAATATTTCTTTTTATAAAACTCAACTGAAGATTACTTAACTCATGGAATGACGTGATCGATATATGAGGAAGCAGTTAAGCGTACAGCTGCTCCTGCTATTTTGATTTGTTGGTTTGATTTTAGGTTCTGAAAGCCTTTTAGTAATGAAAGCTGCGTGTACCGTTTTGTTTCTTGAATTAAAACACGCGAGATTTGGCAGAAAGCCGAGGCTGCCGAATATTCAACAACTTTCCGATTTTACTTAATATAACAGAGCAAGACCTGCTATTTTTGCACGGCGTGCTATAGAAAACATTAATATGAGCAGGAAAGCAGAAAGCATTCCTTCTTTGTTTTCATGAAAATAAAAAAGGGGTCAATGTTCGTCACTTCAGCTTTTATGTAACACTGGAAAAAGATGAAGCAAGCAGATATTCGTCAGTTTGATGTTTAATTACAGCGCATTTTAAGTAGATAACTTATTGGAGAAAGTTTTCATTAAACTGATCTTAGGCATATTGGTACTCGGCCTTTGTCTTCGGCGTTCATTTTTCGGGGCAATGAGCTTTCATGTTTGGATGAGTCTACAAGTATATTGCAAATGGCCATCCCCATATCGTTTTGATATACAAATAGAACAGAAAAAGGCTGCAGAACACGGGAAATTGTGAGATGTTCGCCGAAATTTCAAGGAAGAAATGAAAATAACTGTAACCAATACCAGAAACACCTATAAAGAAATGTTACGGAAGGAAAGTTCTTGTATGGATGAGGAAGAAGGCAGGTCGAGCACCAGATCAATTGATTTATTG